CCAGTGAACGAGCACATGAATAACAACGAATTTGATAGAAGAGACAAGAAAAAGAAAACCAAATATGAAATGAGGAGGGATGTTAAAACCTGAGGAAGGAAGGAAGGATGGGATGTATGACAGATGCTTAATGTTTCCTCAACAGATGCATGGGCTGTGTTTGAGTTCGCTCACAGCAGCATGCACTTTTCTCCGTGAATTCAGCAAGTGAAGTATTATTTAAGCCCCATCAAGTAACTGCAGGATGTTTAAATGAATAGAGGAGCTCACATAGAAAAAGAAAAGTCTCTTTTCAACTCAACTGCTTGAACTAGGAACTAGTGAAACTAGTTGAACTAGCACTGCACTCTGTGCATGTCTGAAAGACTCTTCAATAGTTGATTTCCAAAAAAAAAAAAAAAAAGCAGTATTGTAACTATTCAACACAGTCTGTCACTGCTTGCTTGTACCATTGATTCCAGCTTAGACCATGCCCTGGATACAGTATATACTGCAAGGAGAAATATGAGGAGGTTTTCCTCTGATCTAGATGAAGAACAGCTATTTCTGGGTTCCTAATTTGCACTTCTCTTGCCTCCATTATATGCTGTGGAAAGTAGGCCTATTACTCTGCMATTTTTTTCCATTACATGGCACTGTATCTAGAAGTAGAGCCACGGGCTGAGGTCACATCAGAGATGGACATAAAAGGGACGATGTCAGCATCCCAGCTGACTTATCTAACAGTTGACTAAAAGTCAGGTTCCCTTTTACATTGCTGTGCTGGTTCTGTACAGTCCCTTCAGCTATTACAAACTCTCTGATACCTGGACAGATCTTGGATAAGGTTCCTTCCTAATAGGGTAGCCCTCGGRCTCCAGGGGCTCCAGCTCCTGTTCCAGCTCCATGGGCTGTTTCCTTGGATTTGTGTGCAATCACTCCTGGGACTGAGAAGGTGATAGCAGTGAGTCCAGAAGACTGAACCTTAGCAAGCTGTTGCCTGCTTCAGCAAACACCTATTGGTACAGGTAGAAAAATGCCTGATTCTGGTGCTTAGGGAGAAAAGTGGTGTTCCTAGATCAAGAAGCAGCTGAGAACATTTATGTGCCTTACCTAGCATGGCCCTTCAGGGAGTATGCACTCTGGCAAAGGATGCCATCGCGTGCAAGTCTATGCAGTGAATGCTATTTTGATTCTTATTTCCACAAATACATTTAAATTCCATCTAAATTCTCACATAGCTAGTGACCAAATCCTCCATATCTTGTTTCCAAGGGAGATCAGATCACACAGATAGCGCAGAGTTTGCTTGTACCTTTTACTGATTCATTAGTTAATCATTTCTAAGAATACGACTGACTCCTCTCCCAAAGAGCCAATTGGTCACTGACATAATGAATGCTAAAGTGGATGCTAACTGTGCTTAAGTGAACTTGTCTTTCCTGGGTAGAACAATTAAGAAAATCCTGTCATGTACTGCTGGCAAGAGCATCCTCACAGATGCTACGCCCAGCACTAAATAAAAAGCAACATAGTTTGATGAAACTGGAGAGAAGACAATTTTCACTGCAGTCCCGGAAACTGTTGTTCCATTCAATCCCACACATTCTTGTTACATAACCCCTTCTCGGGGAGTCTAATGAGCTGCTTGTATAAACAAAGCAATTATTTCTCACATTTCTAACATGCAACAGTAACAGCCTCAAAACGTTCAATAAACATTAGCTATTTAATAAGCAATTTGCCCTCTGAAGTTAAGGAAGTATGCAAGCTATGACACCAAAGAGCTGAGACCAGGAAAAAAACTGTCAGCTGTGGGGGAACAAGGAGCAAAATTTCATCCAGTAGAGTCTTTGCAAACTACACTCTTCAGGTGTTATCAAGTTACTTGTTTTGGATAGGCACTGCACAAGCTGACAACGAGCAATGCTAATGAGATGCTAGAAGACCAGATATGCATGTTACTGTGTTTTTAAATGGACAAGGGATTTTTATCTAAGGTAAGAAGTATCCTTTTGAAGCACACTGTTTTAAGCATGTCATACGTGAAGACCGAAAATAAATGTCTGCTCCCGAGCTCCCGACTGCTGTAAGATCTTGAGGAAGCTGCCCTGTCCACCTGGAGGTCACTCCTGTAACACTCTGTCTCATCTAAGCACATGCTCCCTTCCTCTGGTGTTTCAGATCCTTCCCCTCCACACTGCCTCTGGGCAAAGTAGTGCTGGGGAGCCTCTCCTGAAGGTGATGTCCCCTAGACATCACCTATCCCCTGTCCCCTAGATAGCCCTTTGGGTTACCAGCCACCAAAATGGCCCACATGGGTTGGCAGATATAAGCTACAGACCCTACCATCCATATGGAGCACTCACTCCGATAGACCACGTCTTCCTGAGCTTGCTGCACTGGCTGCCCTGCAGTCATGTTTAAGTCTACATAAATATTCTGGCAGATCTATATGATCTTAATAACCAATGCAGTACATCTTACCTGGCAGAGAGGCAGTACAGCACTACAGGAGCTGGCTACTGCTCTCTCCAAGCTGGTCTCAGGCCTGTGCTTGAGGTAGGAGCATCCACTCACGGCCTGCTCATCCCAACAGAGCTCATACAGTTCCCTGAGCTGGGGGAAAACCCTCATGCAAGCCAAGGCCAAGCTTTGCTTCTCCTGGGAGCAAGCTCTCTCCTACCATCCCCTTTTCAACAAGTTTTCTATAAGAGGGCTCAGTAAATCCCCTTGCCCGCTTCAGTCAAGGCACSATTTGGCATGTCATCTCCAAATATTTGCAATGTGGATCAGTTCAGCCACCTGGCTCACAGCTGCCTCACGAGCAGCAGTGCTGATACAGCAGAGAGTGATGCCGTGTAGGAGCTGCACGAGCTGAGGGGACAGCTCAGGCCCTTGTGCTGTGGGGTGGCCAGTCCACAGGGGCCAGGAGGCTGCAAGCCAGTCTCCAAGCTGACACAGCACAAAGCGTAACCATTAGCATGACAGGGAGCAGGGAACCTTTTTTTTTTCTCCTCCTGAAACATAGAAAATGTTTTCATTTTCTTCCCATTATTGATGTTGACTGAAACTGCTGTAGAAAAACATCCAAAAGTGCCCTAAGGACCCAGAGCTGCTGTTACTTTGCAAGACCCAGCATTAGGTTTATGATGCAGTTCAAACATTTCACTCCCTATATACATATATATATGGCCACAGCTAACATGTTTACAAAAATACAAATAGCCAGTCTGAAAGCTGTCCTCTGAATAACACTCATCTACTATCCATGCCTATCACTTTTGTCCAGCCCTCATAGCAGCTAGTGCTGGATTCCAGGATTTACAGGCAAGCTTGTCTATCTGCTTCCCTGCAGCCTTGCTGCTAGTAGGTGCTGGCAGCTTGCGGACATACAGAAACCTATAGTCTTGTGATTCCATATACACAACTTCTTGTCCTCCAGTTACATTGACTAACTTGCGTGTATGTAAAGATGAATCTAGTTCCCACAAGCCCAGAAGAAAAAAAACCAAAAAAAAAAAAAAAAAAAAAAAAACCAAAAAAAAAAAACAAGGAGATGCACTAGAAAGAAGCATCACAAGATGCTACTAGATGAGAGGATACTGGAAACCAGAGGATCTCAAACATTTTCCTGATAGGATCTGGCTTGAGATGGTTCTCTAAATAACCTTCCCTGCTGAATCTAGGCCTTCCTACTGTATGTGGAATAGTTGAAATATACCTATTACACAATATAGTATTAATGTAATAATACAGCTGGTGATCTGTTTGCTGTGCTGCAGAAGACTTTGACATTCTCACCCGTTGAGCTCAAAAATTATACATTACTGAGCTCAACAMCAGTGTCTGTCTCAAGCAGTATCTGTCATATAACAGTGTTGCAATTCAGAGTACTTGGGTAGCTTTTCAGGCATTCAAAGAGTAGGATGCAACAAGTTTYGGACATTTCTGGAAAGGAAACATTCTGGTTTGCCTTTTTGATATCTACTGTGGCTTGAGCGAGACCCTAATGAAACAAGTCCCAGAGAACCAAGATTCTCATTGTCATACACATAGAAGTTAAGCTGGGACTCAATAAGAAGTTTCTAGAATTTGTTTTTTATACAGACAGGATACAAACCTCGTCAGCATCAGAGCCTTAAACCACAAATTGTGCTTCACAAACAGAGAAATACGTAAGGCTGTGCCAGCACCATTTGTGGTTCAATATGCATTGAACGACCTTTGAAGGTCTTCTAGCACAACTCTTTCCCAGGACTCAACGCAAGATGATTCATCAGCTTTACCACCATTACAAGAAAGGCCAGTCTGTATTTCACAGATATATCTGCCTATACTGGATAGTGCACTTAAGACTTCATCAGAGACACAAATATCAGATGACGCAGTTGTTTAAACTTGTATATCAAGATGAACCCAGCTGTGTACACCCACTGTGTACAAGTACACTTTTTTTAAATAGACCAAGTTTCCTTAGATAACTTTACTTCTAAAAAAGAACTTCCATTTGAAACACTAGTTATATAAAAAAACCAGGAAAGAGATAAATGTAAGTCTTGTGCACACCTATTTAATCACAGAATACTCTGTTGGGTCTCTGCTTTTAAAGGACATATAGAGGGAAACCTCACTAATAACTCTTTGGAAAGTTTTCAGGCATGTACATATGTAAATTTATAAAAAAAAAAAAAAAAAAA